ACAGTGATGGGTTCATCCAAATTCATTTCCTCAAGTTTTGCAACAAGTCGTTCTGCATAGCGAGCAACGAGGGGAAAAACCTTTTTTATATAATGGAGACAAAATAAGAAAATTATGTTATTAATATTCTGTATATGTTAAATGTCTGTCAGATATGTAGAAAGAAAACAGATCAAAACACACTGATTATGTTGGTACATTTTTTGTAAACTCGTTTTCTCTATTTTACAAACTTTAACAATGTCTGTGAAAAAAATAAGAACATCTCTGGGAACTGCTGGCTTTTTAAATACTTTTTATATAGTTTAATCACATTAGTGGTTATGTCATGACTCTTACTCAATCATCCAGGTAATGAAATCCAGAAAAGTTGATTTTGTTCGTCTGGACATAGCGTTTCAGTGGGTGAAATGTTTCATCACCTTTCACCCATTGAAAAAGAAACTTTTTGGGATATAAGTGGTTAATGAAATTAGATATATCAACCTGTTTCAGTCTTCCACTGGTGAAGCATGGAGACACGCTGTTGCGAATTCGTTTCCACCTTTCATCTTTGACTACTACAAGAGCGTCTTCCATAGGTCCAGTGAAAAAACCAGCATCCTGTGAAAAGGAAATAATAACTCTCAATGTTTGCTTATATTTCCAACATCGGTTTGCACATATAATGTAATGTAACTGGAATCTTCTCTGTGCTGGCTCTATGTTGATTATTCATATAGAACTTCCTTTGGCTAGATCAACACACATGGGTACATGCAACAGTACAAAGTAAACAAACAACAAATACCAACATCACCATAAATAAGTACTACAGTGCAAAGAGGTTCGAGTAAAATGTAATCAGTAACCCGTCATATTTATCCAGGTTCGTTTGATAATATAGATGCAGGGAAACGTGATATTTGTTAAAAATATCTCAACTACTACCAGTGCTTAATGATTATTGATTAAATAACATGTCAGAAAACTGCTTCAAAGTACACCACTCACTGGTACAATGCTGATCATTTATATATTCACCAACTCTTTTTAAACTCAGCTGTACAGGAAGCAGTCCCAGAAACAATAATGTGATCATTTGAATTGGTTTAAATACATAAAACCTTCATAAAATTACCTTTGATTCTGTTATACATAGTGAGATAGATAACATCTGTTTTTGTTCTCTAGTTTTTATGTGAAACAGTGAAGTGTGTTTCCTGGTTTGCTTCATGTTCTTCAGCTGCTGTGTTGGCTGATGTAACCCTTGAGTAATAAAAGT